AACATTTATTATATGAATATAGTCTGATTAAACATTCAGCAACAACTACGCTGCAGCAAAAGAACTGTTCCATCCTCAGAAATGAACACAAACATTCATTTATGAAACTCAGGAAATCAAACAGGTTATTGTTATCTTGTCTAGAGAAAGTCTATAACTAACATGTTACAGACAACAATTTGTAGAGAAAAACAATTTCTGTTCTGAATTTTTCAGAAGTTATTCCCAAATATAAAGAAATATTATTTCTTTATTCTAAAGAAAAAAAAATCCCAGAAATTATTTCAGACACACCCCTGAATATGTGTGCTGCACCAACACTACTTGCAGGACATGCTCTGAAGTCCTCCAAATGGGTGTGTTTGCAAGACATCTGCTGCTGGAGATGCATCTTTCCTTGTTCCCTCTTTCAAGGGCTGCTCATCCATAAAAGCAACTATCTTAAGCATAAATCCATTAAGGTATCAATATACAGAGAGAGTTTTAGAAATGGAAGGCTGGCATTTTCTTTTCCAGTACAGTCTTGGGAATAAAAAGAAAACAGAATAAAAAGGCATGAACTTGACCATATGGCAGTGGAATATGAAGGTCCTCCCAGGAGGAATGGAGTGATGTGGGAGTGTGCCAAGAGAGGCTGCGGATGGGGAGGGAGGAGGGCACAGACAGGGTGAACGCTTGCTCTCCTGATGGAGTAATGAAGGGACCCTCCTCTTAAAGGACTGGCAAGCTGGATATCACACGTGAAATGACGGTGAGCTGATCACTGACATGCAAGGATCTTGGGATGACAATAAGGTTAGTGAAACATTAGCTCAATAACCAGCCATAGTGAAAGCACTGGGAATCAACTGGTCCAAGCAGTAGAAGCTGCTGGGCAAAAAACCAAAAGAGGTCCTCAAAATGCCATTGAATAAACACATGATCCATAAAACAGTCTATATATCAAATCTTGCATGAGATTCTGGCCTCCCTGCCCAAAAAGGAGACAGCAGTTCACATATAAGGGTTGTCAAGATGAATCAGAAATCCTCAGAAAGAAACAGAGGAAACTTTGCAGGGAGGTGGCATGGGGCAGGCACAATGTAGATGGCACATGGATGGACTATTCATTGCCCTTTCTAAATAAAAATCAGAGGAAGCTGGGAGAAACCAGTTTAAGAACAAGCAAGAGGAGAGCAACAGTTCTGCAACTCCTTGTCAAAGGATGTTGTAGATGCTCAAAGTTCATATGGAGTCAAGGGAGGGTTAGTTTTTCTTCTTTCTTTTTCTCTTCCCTAGCCATATACTTCTGGCCGCTGTGTAAGGCAGGGAGGAAGAGCTTTTGGTCCAGCTAAGCCCGTATAGCCATTCATTTTCCTACCTTGTCTAGTTACAACAAAGAAAGTCCACAAGAGAAAATAAGGGGGAGGTTGGGACATTTTGGAACATCATCTCAATTAAAATGCTCAACCAATGTCTCTACACCTGTTTAGGTTCACATTTATAAACTCACTGAGAAGAGAGAAGACACAAAGTCTACAAAAGAAGGTTAAGATTGTCATTGAAGAGGTGGAAAGAAGAAAAAACTAAAAGAATTGCAAACTGCTGTCCTGCCTTTACTATCCAGGAATACACTGCCAAACAGTCATAAAGAGAATACAAGAATGGCAATAAAAACCCCACCAAAACCTGAAACAAGGAGTTTCCAACAGAAGTTTGAAACTGACTCTTTAACTCAAGATTAACAGTGTAAAAAAAATCATTAATGTTTCTGAAATACAGGTTTCCATTAAGCCTAAGGCAAAAACTCTGCATCTCAGCACGAAGCAAGTCAGCCTCTTTGTACAGGCTATACAAATAAATACGTAAAAATAAGGGGTGTGTTTATTTTAGTAATATTATCCAGGATCAGCATACTGACCAATCACAATGAATCATTACACATGTTCTAGGAAAACATCATATTGGAAAAAAAAAAAATTAAAAGCAGTACAAAACATTACTGATTTGCTTTCTGAAGACTTATTTAGGATACATTATCAAATTGTCCATGTGACAAAGATTTCTGCTGGCCAAAAGGCACCTCCAATTTCCCCAAGCTTCAGCCACTTATTTTCAGGAAGAAAGGAACACTGTGAGAATGTCCTGAAAATTGGCTTTGTTTGCTCAGTCTTCTACTTTGAATGGAGCAGAGGTTCATAGGCAATGTAATAACAGAAATGACTAATGGTACTCAAACTAACATATGCCTCTATTTTTATACTGTCCTCCATTCTTCTGCCAGATGCTTCTCTTCTTTCATTTCATCTGCTTAATGAAGCTCAGCTATTTAGGACCCAGTGCTTTGATTTCAGAAAATTACGTAAGATACTTTACAAAAATACATTATCATTATTATTAAGAAGATGACTGCCTGCCTCAAATTTTAAAAAAAATGTAACACGTAGTTTATCTGTTCAAAAAAGTATTCAGTGGTGCCAATATCTCAAGCTTCCAAAGGCTGAAACCAGACACAAATCTCCAGCCAGCAAACTGACCACCTGAATTAAAACAAGCACTTACCGCAGATATGGTCATACACATGGAAGTGTATGTGATATTTTGTCCCCATTTGGGTGGTGGCAGTTTTTTTGCACTGACAAAGAGATGACAATGTAATACAGATGACTGAACAGTCTGCAGGTCTGGATGTTTATCTAGGATCCCAGTGTACAGGATTCCAGATCTGTGGATGGTTTCATCATCCTGGGATCCCTCTAAGCCTAGCAACTCTCAATCTGTTATTTTTCTCACTGATAATGAATTAGTACACTTGCAATACCCCCTGAAACCTCTTTATTGTCTCATCATACACAATTAATTTAAATTGCTAACTTGCATGACCTTATCATATACCCTGTTACATGACTAATTTTTAATTTGCCTTAATTGAAACACCAAGGAAGGAATATAAAAGTTAAAAAGCAACATAAACCATTTCAAACTCATATTTATTACTACTCTCAAGGGTGCAATTCATCTACCTTGAGGCAGCCAAAAAAGAGTGGAAGGTCTCATTGGGATGTTTTTCTGGACCAGTAAGGACCACTGTGATAAAAGCAGAGCACAGCAGTCACAGAATGTTGCTTCTCTGGGTAGAGAAGGAGTTACAGAACAGATTCAACCTCCACAAGGAATCCTCACAACCCACCATCTGTCTTATATAGAAGATGGTACCACCACTTCCAAACAGAAGTGAAGAGGCAAGGCTGGAAGTAACTCACAGCTGTAGGTGCTCAGGATCAACGCCAGGAGTTGCTGTTAACCTTGCAGGGTAAAAGGAGTCTTAAAACTGAAGCACAGCTCCCACTGCACACACAAAAGCAGCTGCACTGCCCTGTCCAATCACTCTTGGAATGACTGACGTCCTGACAAGATCTCACTGCTTCACCTGTGAAGCTGAATATCCAGTATAAATACCCAGTATAAACCTTTTGGTGTAAACATCCCTGCTGTTTTTATCTGAATGGTTACATTTTCACCACTGTCATCACCTTCACTAGATGCTCACTGCTCAAAAGCTCAGTCAAGGGAGAAGGACAAAAACATGGCAATGATGTAAAGGCAGCTATGAAATGATTACTAGAGATGAAATCAATAGCAGTGTGGTTGTTGGGAGATCAGCAATACATTTGAAAGCTACTGAGACAAAAGTGGTTTCATCTTCAATCAACCTGGTGTACGAGGACCTGATTTAGTTCTCTTCAGGTTTTTAAAGCACTGTTCTAACTAACATCCAAAGTGTACAGCTTCCACAGACCTCCAGCCATCACTTCCAAACTCAACTATTACGTGATATGAAGTTAGAAAATCTTAATCAGCACATATACTGGAAAAATATGAGAAGACTTTGTCACTTTTAATATAAATTCATTTGTACAATGACTGTAGCAATAATTCAGTTTTAGGGCTTATGTTGCATGTATTCTACTTTCCAGAAGAAACACGAGATACTAGTGGGTCAAAGGATTGTTTCATATGGGAATATAATTACATCCAATGGTGGGTTGAACTCTCCTTCAGCAAGGGAATATTTGCAGTAACCCTTTTTTAAATACCTATAAACAATTTGATAGAAGAAAAAAGGTCACACATCTTTCGCAGAGAGAATGGTAGGCTCCTACTGCTATTAACTCATTTTGAGACTGCTTTAATGGCTCAACTGTCCAAGACAGCCACTGGCAGTGTCTTATTTTAAATATACTGTTGTGAGAGAAGCTCCAAAAAGAAACTGATCTTTAAAGATAGGAGAATTAAGCTAGTTTTCCATGTAGGCTATATATGTTCTCTTTGTCAGAGACTCTTACTGTCCATTAATATGCACAGTTAATATTACTTCCAAAGAACAATGCGTTCGGGGGATAACATATAGGATAACATGTTTCACGGGACACATTTTCAAAAATGAAGAAAGCATATTATGGTTATTGAATTTGCCCACAAAATGAGGGATGTGTCTTTCAGGAAGCAGTTCTGAAACAACAATTTCATCAGTCCTGCTTTATTAGTCTTCCCGCCAGAAAAGACAACACTGTAATCAGTGCTGGCTCACTTGGAGTACAACAGAATGTGAAACAGAAGCAGCAGGAATATCTACATCAGATGATCTGAGCAGTATACTAAAAGCACATTCGGTAGTGAAACCTCAGCTTCCATGAGAAGCCAGGAACAAAGTCAGGAACAATCCTGATCACTTCATATGACAACAAATCTGCCCATACTTCCTTTGGGGAAAAATGTCCTCTAAATTTGGATCTTTAGGAGACTCTGTACAGGTTTTCACATCTATTTGGTTCGCCAATTCAGACATTTCCACCTGTTGTGAGACCCAACTCCACATTCACCTCTGTTTGAGCAGTAGGCATCATTCCTCCTCAGGAGGTGTGGTAGTTTAGTCTGGGCCTTCCTTGGTGATCAGTTTGTAACCAAGGAAGTGCCCAGATTTACCCGGTATTCCCTATGATTTTTACGTAAGCCAGGCTATAAGAAGAAAGGAGGAGAGGCCTTCGCCCCCTCTTTCGTTCCGGTGGCTTGGGGGTGTGGGTTTTCCCTGCTGTTGAGTCTGTCGCGTTTGGGGAGTGAGGCCTGGTAAGGCCTTGTCGACCTTGGGAGACGGAGGTTGCCGGCGATCGTTCCATCGTGACATTCTGTTGTCCCGAGGAGAGTAGTAAGATATTCTTTTGCTAATTCTTTTAGTTGCTAGATTTTGGGCTATTGATCGTGTATATTTTATTTTGTTTGTGTTCCTTTTTCCCTTCCCCCTTCCCTTTCCCTTTTGAAGTTGTATATATATTTCAATTGTATATAACTGTAATATAAGTGTAAATATATTTTTATATATTGCTTTATCTGTCTCTCTCTTGTTTCGATTCTCTTGGGTTTTTTTTCCCTCTTCTCCCTGAGGTTTGGGGGGGGGGAACTTCTTGTGGTAAGGTTTGGAGACTTGGCAGGGAGCCAGCTCCAAACCATATCAGGAAGTCAAGAGGGACCTAACTCACTACATCATCCACATCGACTTGCAGTCCCTGGAAAGGCCCGTGGCTGCACAGATGGTGCCACACAAAGCATTCCCAACCTGCCTTCCCTTCCTGCATAGGGACTGAGTAAGACAGAAACCATTCTTACAGCTACAGACCTCCCTGAAATAGAAAACATCAAACACCTGGTAATGACCACTCCACCAGCTCTCTTGCAACACTATCATATTACATTTTGACTGTCATACAATAAAGAGCCCTCTGTCTTCATTAAATGAATGAGGAAGTGGCAAGCTGGGGTTAGGGAGAGGAGGGCAGCAATGACAGAGCTAGCAAGCCTGCAAAACATGTTCAGTCCTGATGCTACAGCTTGGAGATTTGTAGCGACAACACTAGGCAACAGCACAATCCTTTAACAAAACAAAAACAAAACACCCAACCCCCAAACCTTTAGATTGGGTAGAAAATCCCTCCCCTCCATGCCAGTCTGCAGGATGTGTAATATACAGCCGCAAATTTTCTTGGGCACATGCACGCTGCAATTTTCACAATATTCAGTATTTTCTGCCTTCAATCAATAGTTTCTATGATCTCATAAGAAAGAAGGAAAGGTCTGAAGAGAACTAAGGATACCAGCTCCATCTTTCCTTAAGAACAAAGCCTCACCTTTACAGTAATGTTAAAGGGTTAAGACTGAGGGAGTACCTTTGCTGGGAGTAGAGACTGTTGCCTGCTGGCACAAGAGAAAAGAGTATCTCAGCACACTTGCAGGGAACCATGTGTCTAAAGCTCTGTTTTCTGCAGGGATCTGCTGTCTGCTTCCAAAGAGGGCAGTGCTTTTAGCTTCCCAGCTAAAAGAACAGACTTCATAATGAATTCTCTCAAATAAGCAAAAGAAGCAATCATGATTTATGACAGGATTCATTCCCTTAAAGATGCTTTATGCCTGTCCTATCAGCTTTTGCAGGTCGGAGGACAAAACTGATCACAAAAAGCACTCTGAAAAGAAGACTGTGCTTGTCTTCTCCCCCCCCCCCCATCAGTCAGCAAGGTTTTACACAGAAAACCATTAGGTTAGAAAGCAGGAGCAAGATCCCCATATACTACTCACTCATCTGTGATGCCTGAGTCTGGCAGACCTCTACTGTCTCCGTAAATACGGGGAGCTGGGGAGCTCTTCAGAAGGACTGTGTTCCTGGGGCACCCTGCCACAACAAAAGCACCAGGGAGAGCAGAGAGCACATCTGACATCTTCAGTCTACAGGGAGAAGGGAATAGGCATCAGCGCGCCTCTGCATCAGGTGCTGCTGGTGGCATGGGCTATTGGGGTGCTACCCCACAGGCATGGGAAGGAGAGGCTGCCTTGCTCTTGGAACTTCTTGCACCCTCTTCTGTTTTCTCTCCTTTCTTGCTTGGTGATGGAGAGAAAAGGAGGCAAGTAGTCCCATCTAGCCACCCATCTTGCTATGCTCCTCAACAAGCACCCTGCCAGGACATTCCCCCAGCACTGAAAAGATTTGGATGTTTGCCACTGATTTCCAAGGTCTCCCCCTGAAATCTGAAGGCATACCGGCTGCTGCAACTGTTCTGAACAAGCAGCACAGAGAGGCAGCACAGTCTTCCCAGCCAAACTCCTTGTCCAAAATAAAGAAGGGAAACACAGAACTCGGGTGCAGCATGGAAAGCAGCAGCCTACCTCTCAAGTTAGATATTTTGTCCAGAAGATTTTTGTATAACATAAGCATTAGAGTCTTCTAAACAGCTCTCCCAGACAAGAGCGGCTGCCAAGTCAACACATCAGCAGCCAACGCAAAAAGCTGGAAGCAATCTGTGGAGACAGGGCAGCTCCCTTGAAGCTGGAGACTGATGGCTCTGGCAGCAATGCTGAAAGGATGCTGCAGTTTCTGCTGCAGCAGAGCTCCATGCTTCAATTTGGAGAGAATGGACATTGCAAACGGACACAATAGGAGCTCCTGCAATTATTGAAGGGGTAAAATGACTGAACTATTTAAAGACACTTCTCTCTCTCAAAGTGTTTAAGTTAACAAACGCCACAGGAATTTCAAATAATGGATTCATTAATTTCAAAAATGTTTGTGTGATACCCTGTCAGACCTAATGAAGAACTAAAGTTTTGGAGACAAGTCTATGAGACTCAGTTCTGCTAACTGTGAGCAAGGACTCCTGTCAAACTGCAAGGCAGTTCCTCCATTACACCAAATGCCCCTTCTTGAAGTGACAGCTCACACATTATGTTTACGTATTATTATTACCTCTTAGTAATTAAATACTACCATCTGAGCTGTGCTGGCTAATTTTACCAAGGTATACTCCTGGGACACAGCTGCTGCAGCCCTGACATACACTGCATGTCACCTTAAGTTAGAAACTGCCACAGTTCTCCTGCTGTTACTACAGGAAAACTCTTAAGCATGTTATATAAAGCAGGGGGAAAAAAAAGCATGTTTGGGATTCTGACATTGGGATAAAATACACATGCGATCCAAATTCACCTTGCAGGAACCTCCAAGTTGAAGTATCAATGAACAAAACAAATTTTAGGATAACAAAACTGTTGCAAAATAGTTTTGAACTGAAAAAAAAACATTCAATCTAAAGAGAGATTTATTCCAAGGAAATGGGAGTCAGTAAGACCTGAATGTCGTTTAAAAAAATTTGGTTTCAAAACTGAAAGTTTAATTATCATCTCTCAGCTTGGATCAGTAAGTTCAAAATCAAACTTCCAATGTAAATTTAAATTTTCCAAAACTGAGTAGTTTTAGAAGTGAAGTAATACCAGATTTAACAAAGTGAATCAACTCCCTTTGAATTTTCCCCCACCCGCTGCCCTCACTGTCAAAGCAATTCATCCCTCTGGTAATTCAGGTAAGCTAGAGGGAAGTGTTGCAGGACAACACTTAACATCTCCTCCTCTCCCCTGCAATTCAAAAGAAGGGAATGAAAGTCTTGGTAATGGAGAAACATTCTCTGAATGAAAAGGTTCAATTTTACAAGATTCATCACAAAGTCCCTTATTCATCAGCAGCCTTGGCACTCTTACTCTTCTACCTCACACAGACATTTCTGGAATGTGTTTCAGGCTACTGAGGAGGGAAAAAAAAAAGGTAGTTCAGCAGGAAGTTGCAGAGGCTAAAGAAATGAAGACTCTGAAATCGATCCTGCTCCTGTCCTACAAAGCACAATTTCTGCCAGAAGCATCAAGCAGAGCAGGACCGTCCCCTTGGTGAGTAGAGTTTTCTTTTTACCTTTTCTTCTTTTGTACCTCCACTAACATTGACAAACTATTTACATATGAGAACAATACTTGCAATTTTGCATCAACAGACTTGGAGCTGTTTTCTTATAAGGCATCTGAGATTTTATATGAACTAGATTTGGAGATTGAGAACTACAGATCTGTATTTTCATCTCGGAAAAGTTCTACTTGAAAAGATTCCTCCCTGCTAGACTGCATGATGGTTTACTAACAGACCTGCTTGGATAAGGATACACAGGAATTCACTTCAGAAGCTGCAGGAGGTTTTACCACCATTTTTATTGCTCTTGCTTGCTCTGATCCAAAGCTGACAAAAACCCATTAAGAGATTGAAACAAAGTGTGTGGAACCAGCATGAGCAAGAAATGTCCTAATTGAGTACTGGACCTGGCATCCAGGCAACCTTTGCAACAGACTACCAGTCTCCTCTCAAAGAATACCTTCTCTGCACTTCCAGAAGGCAGTTCTGCTCTGGATCAGATGAGGGACAAAAATCTCATTATTTCATTCCCTGGATTTAAACTCCTGTGAATTGACCATCAGTAGTGTAGTGCAAACAAACTTTCCCAGAGATCTAACCCCTCGGTATAGTACTACAGCGATAAGTATTAAAATGAGGAGACAAAAATCCTGAAACATTGGTTTTTTTTGAGATTTATGTGCAGTGTAAAGTCATGCAACAGAATACAATAAAAGCAACTGATGTACCAAAAATTATCCTAGTTTTGATGAATGTGTCAATTTTGGAGTGCAATGAGAAACCTAAGGAACTTGTTTGCCCTGAGTTAATATAACACTAAGGAGAAGGAGTTAATATAACACTAAAGCTGCAAAGGAAATCATAGTGAGTGCAGGAACTGCCAGGATTAGTCAACTGTTGTTCCCAATGGTGTGAGCCTGCCCTTGGGTTCCAGGTCACGGCTTCCACACAAAAGTACACTCTTACCTCTCCAGCGCCCTGCCCAGTCACTGCTTGTCCTGTGCACCACACAAGGCATGTCTTCCACAGGGTAGCAAATACACGATGATGTCCTTAAAGTTTACACCACAGCATGCTCTTCTTATGGTTTTTCATGTTTAATTTCCTTTTCAAATAAAAGCTACAGAAAACCAAGTATCCAGCAGCATCCCAGGCTTCTGCATTCCCTCATACTACTTGCCCATGCTAATGATCCACAGGACTCGTATCCAGGGCGTTTAAAACCACAGTATACGCCTCCTCCAGTACTTGAACTACAGGAATAAACTCTGGAAGAAACAGGAATACAAGGCAGTAGAAGCAGACTGGTTAGTGGTGAGGAACAGAGTCAGCTTCTTGCCAAGGACTTACACAAATATACATAAGACATGAGAGGAATGTTGGGAGTCAAGCTTTTTTTTTTCTTTTTTGGAGGGGGGAAGGAGAGGGAGGTGTTACTGAACAGTGAGAAATTATGTCTAGTGGCTGAGTGCAGCATAAATGAGAACAGGTTTGGCACTTTCTGAAAGGCAGTGTAGATGCTGATAAGACTTAGAGCACCTGTTGTAACTGGTGACCTCAGTATGGGCTGGAGTGGGTTTCTATACCTGTAAACATCATTATGAGTTGTGATTACAAATTATGAACTTAAATAATGCAGAATGACTGCTCCTGCCTTATTTCTGTGGCTGTAATGTAAAGTCTTGTTCAAAAACAAAGAAAGAAATGCATACATTAACACAGTTGGGTTGATGAAAGGAAACCAAAAGCAAAGACCTGCTGCCTTGTTTGTCTCAAGTTACAAAAACCTTCTTAGAACAATGCAGCAAACTGCTAAAAGATTTTCAGCTTTATTTCTCAAAGACAAGTCACAGGAAAATTTTCCAGGAAATATCCAATGCTGAGGCCCTGAATGTTTATTTCTTTTATTTCAAATTTAGAACAGAGACTTCTAGTCCTTTACCTTTCCACTGCCCCTCTCAAACTGTGTTGCATTTAAGCAAAGAAAGTCTGTACTTGTAAGTGGAAAACAGGCAAACATTTGGTTATATCATTTGCATCTGCAAAAGTTAAGCTGTTACCACCATAAAGTCAAAGGCAAACATTTTAAGAGGTAAGAGGATACTGTTTCAATTATTATTTTTTTCTTTTCTTCATAAATCAAGCAAGGAATTCCAAAGCAATTCTCATTAAAAATGCCCCTCGGGTTCTCTGAAGACATATGCCGGCATTCCAGTAAGATTTTTACAATTGCAGATTTTGAGGAAAGAAGGGGGGGGTTACTCTTGAGAAAAAGTATGCGCTGGGACAGACTGCACAACAATGACAGCAGCAGAGTTTTGGTAAAAGATCTTTGCTTCATCAAAACATACTGGGCTGAATATATCAGTAGGACACATTTGCTGACCCAGATGCTACAAGCTCAGAATCCAGGAATAAGGTTAGTTTATGCAATACACACTTATTTCTGAAGACAGTCCCAGCACTGGGTGAACAACGTTGCCAAAGAAGTTTGAAGAAATATCTGCAAAAGGCCTTCTGCTGCTCTGACCCATTTCAAACCACGCCCACTCTGGTTGCACCTTCGGCATGAAATCAGCAAATCTGAAATCGTTTGCCAAGGTTTCAGTCACTTCCAACTCCTTCACATCCAAATACTTCAGATACCAAGTCTTAAGTCACATCTAAACCACAAAAACCATATGTTCCGTGTAGAATTACTTCTTGAGGCAAATGTCTTTCCTACCCCACTCCAGCTCCATCCTTCTCAGCTATGCTTATGCATCAATCAGTCTGTTAAATCAAGCTGTGCACCCATTTTTTGCAGTTTTTATGAATTGTACAGTGTATGATCCTGTCTAATGGAACACTGTTTATTGCAAAACTTGCAATGATTTTTCAACCCAAAAGAGATTAAAGTATCCCTCTTAAGCACTACAGACATGGGTGCATGAATTCCTTTTAAGATACAGAACAATCAAACATACATTTACATATGTAACACCAATACAAAACACTGCAAAGAAACTTAGCAGTTCAGGCAACTGGTTCTAGGTGGCTCTGCCCTAGGCAAGGGGTTGGACACGATGACCTCCAGAGGTCCAACCCCAATCACTCTGTCATTCTGTGATACATCTAAAATATATTCAGTGACTTACGCAACACAGATTAATGATTCTTGGTTAAGTGTATCAATATGAATAAACCAGGTAGCTATGTTAAAAATCAAAAATTTGTAAAAATGTATTCAAACACTTATTCTCATAACAAAAGAAAGACACAGTCACCAGATAAACAAGGACCAGTCCAGAATGTTCCACACATGTAGCGTTAACCACTTCCCTCCCTCAATTCATCCGGAGCTGTTTAACTATTGAAGAAGAAACAGTACAGCAGCAATGTTCTACTTGTCCTGGTTTTGGCTGGGATAGAGCTAATTTTCTTTGTAGCTGGTTCAATGCTGTGTTTTGGATTCAGCGGGAGAATCTATAACAAACTGATGTTTTGGGTGTGGCTCAGTAGTACTTACTCTAAGTCAAGGACTTTCTGGTGCCTCATGCTCTGCCAGTGAAGAGGGAGCATGGCCAGGACAGCTGACCTGAAATTGGCTACAGGAATATTCCATACCCATAGAGCAGGGGAGAGTTGTCTAGGGGCTGCCAATCACCGCTTGGGGACAGGCTGGGCATCGGTCAGTGGGTAGTGAGCAATTGCACTGTGCATGACTTGTTTTTCTGGAATTTTATTTGATTTTTTTTTAATTACTATTATCATTAGTATTATTAGTATTATATTCTACTTTGTTTCAATTATTAAACTTATGTCAACCCATGAGGGGTTCTTTTTACTTTTTTTTCTCCCATCCTCCTTCCCATCCCAGCAGTGGAGGAGGGAGGAGTGAGCAAGCAGCTATGTGGTACCTAGTTGCCAGCTGGGGTTAAACCATGACACTTCTCCATAGTCAAGAACGGTGGCACTAGTCTAAAACTCCATGATTCTGCTCCTCATAGACATTCAGTTTGTCAGTAAGGTTTTTAATGCATCAGCCTAATGAACCTAACTGTGAGTGCCATAACCATGATAAGTACAATAGGGTTATATTTGGATTTGTAATTCATAGTTTTGTTACTGAAATAAAAAAACAATACAGTTAATGCAAAGAAGATGAATTAAAACTGAAACAAGGTTTATTGCTAAAGCTGCAAAGACAGAACACCGTGGGGATTATCCTATATAGAGAGATAAACTTGGCAATTACTATCTGAATAGTCAGTTCGGTCTTATTTTTTTAAAGTCAGAGAATAACCAGCTTTGGTGTAGCAAATCACACATTAGGGTGGTTCATGAACCACGGGAAACACATCCTTTCAAAAAGTCTGAGAAAGTACATGGATGAGACTTACAAAGTACAGAGAGGGAACATATACATGCCTTATGTCCTGTGTCAGTCTGAAGGTTTTCTGAAGCCATTCCCACTGGAAACTTTGAACAACAGAAATGAACAGCTTAACTTTGCCCCTAGGTAATTAGACAGTATCGGTGGAAAGCAGATGTCTGAAGTAATTAAAAAGTGGGAAAAAGTCATCAAGGATGACAAGTTCTGGACTTGGGGGACCAGATTGGGGACTTGATTCCCCAGTGAAACAGGACTTTGATGTTTAATGCACTCACCATTACCAACAAAAGTCAGGGACGGGAAGAGTGAGATGCCATGCAGATACTAACATGCTTCGAGTTCTTCTAGAAGAAAGACTATCGTAAGAAACAGTATCTGTAAAAAGTCTTCTTAATCCCCCTATGAAGTATACAACGAGGTCAAGTTGCCCTTTACAGCTGTATCTGTATAGGTGATGTTTGTGAGTGATCTCCAATTAGGTCATGCAGACAATACTTTAGAAGTCCTGATCCTCCTGCCTGACCCCATGGCAGACATGGAGCTGAAGGATCTCTCAGTGGGTTGCGGACACCCTCTGTGCTTTCTTTAATACTTGCTAAATTCTTTGGAAGTTCTGCAGAAAACTCTTCCCCACTCCATGCAGGAGTCCAATGGTGGGAATCTCAGTCAGATAACAGAAGTCTGACTTATGGCTCCCTACCCCAGGGCTCCTTTGTTCCAATCCATCAAACAGCCCGGTTCTCAAAATGCCCTTCCTCATTTGTTCTGGCAGGCTAAGGCCATGCAGAGCAACAGTCTTATACCTTCAGCTCAGCATTTAACTCACAAGGAATGCTTCTGTATCAAGCTCAAAATAAACGAAATCATATGTTTCTCTCCTATCCTATTTATATTGCAAACCAGAATCTCAGTTAACTAATTCTAAAAAGCTACACATTGACACAAAATACTTTCAGACCAAGTAACTGAAGTTAATCTCAGTGCAGGCTACGGCTCGATTAACACAACTCACCTTGAATATCACATTGCTCTTCCATATATCTCTTGAGAATCTTGCCAGCTGTACTAACATTGGAACAACAGAAGAAAATACGTATCACAAAACCTTGGATCTTGCATCAGGTGACTGATGTAGTAAGTATTGCACAAGGGTGCTTTGATGTTACAAAAGACCTAAGAAAATACCAATGACTTAGGGTGTATTCTTGCTGTGTTTACTCTCTTACTAAATGGCACTTGTCATACACATGCCATCTGCTGCATCGAAATGCGATACCCAACCAGGTAAAATAAAAATTTCCCACACCAGCAGACTCTTTGCACAGATTAAAAGGAACAT